GCCCCGCCGCCCGGGCCCCCGGGGCTGCGCTGCGCTGAGATGGAGCTCAGCTCACCGAGGCTGCTGAAGAGCCTGCGGAGGGAGAGGGGGTCAGGGCGGGTGAGGGGCGCCAGGCGAGGTGGGGGGCGGACGGAGGGGAGCGCGGGAAGGGCCGGAGGGACGCGAGCGCTGGGGCGGGATGGGGCGGCTTCCGAGTCTGAGGAGGAAAGAAGGGTGGGCGCCACTTATTGGGGCCCGGGGGTCGAAGCCCGCGCCCTGCTCTGGGGGCCCTCTGGACTGAGCGGACCAGGGCGAAGAGCAAGGCCGGCTGCCCTCCGCACTCCACCTGGCTCGAGAGCAGCCCATCAGAGGACCAGGCTGACTGCCCCTCTCCAGCAGACCCTCTCCCTGCAGCCTGTTCGTCCGTGCCCTGGACATTGGCTCAGGCAGTAGCCCTGTCGCTCCCATTCCTCAGCTCTGCTCTCTGAGGAGACTGGAGACCCCTGGGGCCGGCTGCCGGGCTGGCTGAGTCAGCGGCGAAGACGGCTGGCAGCAGGGACTGAGCAGGGGCCCACCCAAGACAGGCCCAGGTGCACCTGGCGCAGCAGCACGTGCGAAAGAGGCTCAAGACAGCAGCACAGCCATGCCAAAGGGGAGAGAATGAGCAGCGCACACGCATGTTGCAACGTGCAGAGGAGGTGGCCTGCTCAGGACAGGGACACAGGCGCACCGCCACGGGACGCACAGCCCACACGCAGACGGCAGATGGCGCTCACGTCCTAACCGCTCCGAACAGGACCCCAGCGCTCCAGCCCCACCCCAGCCGGGCCTCGGAGGGAGGCCCCACTGCGGCCAGGGGGCATCAGCGGACTGCCAGAGGCGCCGAAGCTCCCCGCTGCCAAGCAGAGCAGATCCCGGAGGCCAAGCGCAGCCACGGGCGCGGTGAGAGGCATGGGATGGGTGCTCACTTACACAGCCGGCGCTCGGGGCCAAGGCGCAGCTAGACAGCGTGGCCACATGCAGATGGGCAAGAAGAGAGTAACGAGAGAGAGCGTTAGCGCAGGCGGCTGCCCTGGACGGACGCCCGCGGAGGGTGCAGCTTGGGGCTGGGGACACGGCTGGGAGCGCGTTGGCAGGTGTAGGCAGGGTTGAGCGGGTCTGGGCCCTTGCTTTCTTGGCCTCCAGTGACCTGGCTGTGTTGCTCGGTTCTCCAGACTTGGGGTATGAAAGGTAGCCTCGCTTCTGACTCGAGGGCCCCGAGCTGCAAACCCTGCTCCCTCTCCTTGGACCTGCCCAAGCTGCATGACAGACGTCCCTCTGGGTTCTGCAGCCCACCTCGGCTCCCCTCTTGAAGCCCCTCCCACGTTTGCGGTCACCCGCTCCTCACAGCCCCCAGCTCTCTCCCTCCCACCAGACTTGGCTCAGAGCAACCACCCCTTTCCATCCTGTCCCACCGGCTCCTTCCCCAAAGCCTTAGACGGCGTGGAGGCGCCACCCAGTGGCGCATGGGGGTGGGGCGCGCGGATGGTAGGAGCTGCCTCCTGCCTCCACCCCTGGTGAAGGGACCCTGGCCTGGGTCCTCCTGGCTCCTGCCCCATATGCAGATGCCAACAGAGTTTTGAGCTGGCCAGACCAGAGTAATCTGGAGCAAAGCTGTTTCCGTCTTAATGTTGCACCACCACAACCCCAGAAAGGCCCTGGGCTCTCCAGGAACCCTGGCGGCAGCCCCTTGGACCTACAGTGAGCCCCTGCCAGAAAGTGGGGTTGGTCCCAGCACAGCAGGGACAGAAGGAAAGTGAGCCACTCCTACCACCTCTGAGAGACTCCCCGGGATGCTGTGCCCACCCACAGGCCCCGACAGGAAGGGGCCAGAGCCAGCCCCTTGTCCATGCCCCCTCCCCTTTCTCTCAGGAACAGGAGCTCATGGTAGCCAAGGCCATGTCCAGCTCTGAGTCCCAAGCATCAGCACGACTTCTGCCCTCGCCCATCAATCCAGCACCACTCTCAACTGTCTGACCCCCTCCCTCGGGCAGGCTCCAGCCACCACTGCCAAACTTCAGGACCTACCAGCCTCCCAAAGGGCTTCCAGGCCACCGGATCCCTCACCAGGCACCATCACCCCCAGAACTCTGCGGTCCGGATCACTTTCACTCCTCCGAATCGCATGCTATCTCTCCTGGGCTGGCCACCTCTTCTGCCCTCCATCCCCCTTTGGTCTGCACTTTCTCTGGGGCCAGGCCATCTACTCCACCCTGCAGGAACCACTGACATGTCCAGAGACAGCCAGATCTGCTGGGGTCCAGGCCTGCTGCATGGGCACCCCAGCTCCCATCCTTCTCTCCCTCAACTCTTCACTCCCACAGCCTCCTCCAGATCCAGAGGCCAAGGGCAGCATTAGAGGGCTGCACCCCGGATCCCCCCAAAGGTAAGCTGGGCATTTCCCCATTTCTGAGCCCTGGTCCGCAGGGACCACCTAACTTGCCCAGAGATGTCTCAGGCTGCTGAACACCTCAAGGCTCAACATTATCAGAGCCTGGTCCGATGGAGGAATACCCAGGTGACTGTCAAGTGAAGCCTCGGGGAGACATGCCTCAGGGCCTCTGTCAGGATCCCCACTGGGGTGAGGAACAGCCCTGCCTGGACTTCAGAATGCCCCTCACCTGGGCCTTTCTCCGAAAGAGTCATTGACAATTTCTCCATGAAGAGAGAGGTGGGCACCAGCCTGGTCTCCTCTACACTGGTGCCCAGACCCCATGGGGGGCCGACCACCTCCTGCAGCCATAAGTTGGCGCCTGGGGAGCAATGGAGGGGGCCACGCACCACCCACGACTGAGGGTGAGAAGGGGGCATAAGAGGGTGGAAGGAAGACTGAAGAGAGCAGAGGACTGGGCAGAAGCTCACGGAGGCTCCAGAACACAACACATGGGGCTGCTCACTCACACATGACTGCTGAGTAGGCATGGTTCTCGGCCATTTCTGCCTGTGAGCCCAGCGTGTGCAGGAGGGGAAGCTTAACGGCAGAGCACGTAGGCAGAGGCAGACAGAGGGTCAGCAGACACCCACTGTCACTGGCTGAGGGAGCCCACTGTGAACAGCAGTTGTTCCGAGAGGGAGGATGCCCGTGGAACAAAGTAAGCTTCCAGCAGTGAATGCCAAGGTACACCTGCTACCATGTAGGGGCTCCTTCACAAGCCCATCACCCAGAGGACATGAGAGAGCTAACGGGTGGCCTCCCTGGGCTGGACTCTGGGGCCATCTGACCTGGAGTCGACATCAGGGAACGAAGCAAGTTGCTGAAGTGGGCAAGGACCACGCTGTTCAGACTGCTGGCAGCCTCTCCCCTCTGCTGGGTGGGTGACTCTGGCCTCAGTCCCCCTGACTTTGCTGAGTGGTTTGGAGGGGAGCAGACCTGCATGCACTAGGCCAATCAGAGGCAGGGATGTGGCAGGAGTAACTAAGAAAAAACATTCTCCTTCCACCAGAATGCAGAAGACAGGTGTGAGGCCAGGGTTGCAGGCTTCCAAGGACAGAGAGGAAGGGTGGTGGGAGAAGGGCTTTCAGCAAGTGCCAGCTGTGTGAGTGCCTCACTCTTGCCCATCAGAACAAACCTAGAGCAAGACTGGGTTACTCAGGTGGGGCCTTTCCTCCACGGCCTCACCCTGCGCCACGTCCCTAGACCTCAGGCCACAAAAGACAGCATGTGCGTTTGGCTTCCTTCTTTCATGCGTTTGACAAGTGTTTATTGAGGCCCTGCCACATGCCAGGCACTGTGCCACACACGCCCACTGGCTTTGCGTTTCCTCAGATCCACGGGGCAGAGCAACATAAGGGCTGAAGAGGAGGAGAACTGGTCGAGGTTCCCTGGTGGCCGAGGCAGAAGCCTGGCTACCTGCCTGAACACACATCCACACCAGCACACCCACCCTAAGGGCACTTCCAGCTCTGTGCTACTGGGAAGAAGGCTTTGGGGTTTGGCTTGGAGTTGGAAGAGGCCAACAGAGGGGGCCTAAGGGCAAACCCTGGAATTACAAGATCTGAGGAGATCCTGGGACCCCTTCAGAGAGGCACATTAACTCCTGAGGCCCCCACTTCCTCCCAGGCCCTGAGCAGGAATAAGGCTACAAGGTCAGGCCCCTGGGGGTGAGAACTTTGCAAGGCTTCTTGACCTCCAAGTCCCCCAACCCTGAGCTCTGCTTTCCAGACACAGGAAGGGCCTGCTGGTTGGTCTTCAGGGCAGCAAGGAAGGGGTCCCAGGAGATGACATCCCACACACGCCCCCCAAAAGCCAGGAGCGGAGACCAAAGGCGCACAAGCAGCAAAGGCAACTTGGAAAAAGGCAGCCAGGAGGGCTAGCCAGCTCTGCCCTCGGCTGGCCCACGGCAGGAATCCATCCTTCCCTGATGTTCACGCAGCCACAGGCCCGAGAGGCTCCCCCAGGGAGGGGGTCCTCAAGGGAAGACTCAACCCCTGTGCAGTCCCCTCCCCCTGCCAGCACCACCACATGCCCATGGCAATGTGGCCCTGTCCCCACCCAGGTGGGAGAACAGAAAACGGGGAAGGGAAAAGGGAGGACAATGCAGTGGGGAGGCAGGAAACCCACTGGGCCCCTCAGCAGGTCGCAGGTCCCAGGGCTCCCAGGCAGGTCCCAGAGAAGGAGCCCCAAGCACTCAGAGCCCCCAGGAAGGAAGGCACCAGCATGTGGCAGCCACACAGCTGTGGGGAGGCCTCGGAGAAGCCAGATGGCCAGGGTCAGCCCTAGAGCGGGCCTGGGAGAACCCTGAATGGTAAGGCTGTTTCTGGTGCCCAGCACTACAGGGAAGCGGGCTCCCGTCAGAGGCCAGCCCCAGAGAGCTTCTATCTCACAGCCAGGCCAGGGACGGGGTAGGGAGGTGGGGCATGGTGGACGGTGGAAAGAAGGGAGGGGGGGACACAGGGTGGGCCACAGGCATGGGCGGGCCCCCTCCCCGCACCGCCCTGCTCACCGAGCTGCCGCGATGGGTGACTTCTTGGCAGGGTCCAGGAGGCCGCCCAGGCCACCGACTGGCTCCTCCCCCAGGGAGCGAGTGTCTTTGTTGAGTTGCTGTAGGCGGGAGCTGAGCTCACTGATCACGGTTGGCTTGCCGTCTTCAGGCCCGGGGAGGCCCCGGCTCTCCACGGGGTCCCCCCACAGCTTGGACCTTCTCTGGAAGAGGTAGCGAGGGCGGGCAGGCCCAGCGGAGGCAGCATGGTGCTGCTGGGCCATGAGCTCACTGTCCGAGGACTGCTTCAGCAGCGGGTCCCTGAAGGTCACCGGCCCCTTCCCCAGCGGGGACTTGAGCTTGGGCTTGGGAGGCACTGGTGGCTTCTCGAGTAGAAAAGTATGCCCGTCGGCGAAGGAGGTGTGGGTGTCAGCGAGCTCCCCGCTCTCTGAGCTCAGGGTGGACATGCTGGACACGGTGGAGATGGTGCTTGTGGTCTCCAGGTGGGGGTCACTGGAGCTGCGCGTGTCAGCCTCCTCCACGCCAGAGTCAGCTGCGGACTCCGGGGCGGGCGGCAGCTCGGTGCCTGGCTTCCCTGAGGCCGGGCCGGGCCCCGTGGTGGGTGAGGGGCCCGGGCCAGGGAGCGGGGTGGCCAGCAAAACCCCGTTGGCAAACTCTTCAGGGGGTGGCACCAGCCCAATGCGGGCGAGCTCCTCGCGGGTCTCCTCGTCGCTGGATGACAGCTGGGCCGGTGGCAGGTTCACTGCAAACACCAGCTCCGGCTCCTCCTCTGAGCTGCCCTGGCCTGGCCCGGGGTCCACTGGGGTGCTGCTGGGGGGTTGGGCCCGCGGGCTGGGCAGGGGCTCTGCCACCGCCGCTGCTGACTGCATGGGGGCCGGGGCCAGCTCCGGGGAGCCCGGGTGCTCCTCTTCGGCCCCCAGCTCGCCAGGCTCCTGCCCATTGCTGGTGGCATGCACCACAATGAGACCAGCTGGGCGCTGCAGGGACGTGTCCAGGACGCTGAGGATCATGGACTTCTTGTCATCGGGTGACTTGTGCTCCTCCCGGGGGGCCTTCTCTGGCTCCCTTCGAGCCGGCACGGGAATCCAGGCTGGGCTTCGTGGGGAAAAGACCGGCGAGGCAAGGGCACCTCGCTCCGAGTCCCGAGGTTGGACATCTACAAACAGGGGCCCAGGGCGGTCCGCATCGGGGCTGTGCACGGGCGTGGGGGAGCGGGAGGGGGCCTGGGAGGCCAGAGCCCGCTCGCGGGCGGCCAGGGCGAGGGCCAGGGGCGAGCTGGGGTCCAGCGGCTTGCCGGTGAGCGGGTGGATGAAGGTGGAGCCGGAGGACCCCAGGCTGGGGCCGCTAACCAACGGCTTTAGCGCGGACACGGGGGAGGGCAGCAAAAGGTCGCGGCCAGGGGCAGGCCCGGTGCCTAGAAGACGCTCGTCGATGGAACGGGAGGGCTGCAGCGAGGGCAGGTCGGCGCTCGGGGGACTGCCCTCGATGGCGCCCACCGACAGGAAGACGGTGGAGCGGCGCCGCTCCTCCAGCCTCCGATCCTTAGCCGGGCCCGGGCCGCCGAACGCCAAGCCGGGGCCGTCGCCGGGGCTGTAGTCGAGGCCGCCAGGCCGGGGGCCTCGGTGCGTCGGGGAGGGATCGCGGGCGAAGCTGCCGGTACCCGGGCCGCCCGTGCCGCTGAGCGCCAGCGCCGCGCGTTCCTGCGCATCCTCCACCTGCAGCTGCTTCACCAGCGGGCTCTTGCGACGCTGCGGCTTGGAAGGCGCGAAGAGGCTGGCGCTGAAAGCGCCCAGGTTGGCGTAGGGGCTGTCGGGGCCCGGCGGCCGCGGGCGGCGCT